GGGGCTAGTCATACTCACGGGTAGCTTGCCAGGAGCTCCCAGAGTGTACATGGAGCTTAGTTGTTGGAGGGGACTCCTAACCGCCTCCCATACACTTCCCAGTCACTTGATTGCAGGCTTTTGGCCGAATTGACTCGTAAAATACAATCCGCATAAGCAAGAACGCACCCACACACGCATCCATGAATATGCCTAGCAAATACAGAAACTATGTGCCAAATGAGCGCAGCAGAAACAGGGAGTCCATCCCCTAGATCCACCTGCGTTTCAGGGAAGCAAAGGTCGTTTTTAGTCCTCGATTAACCCCCTATCCGCCTCCTGGGGACGCTCCACGTAGCTTCGCAACTAACCAGCTCGAGATCCCTCATATGAGGGAGATCCGTGGTCGGTTAGTATATGAAGACAAACAGGCAAATGTATCCATGATTTTTATTTCGATTCGCTTTGTAGGTTAGTTCACCTTTATGAGATACGTACTTGTTTTTACTCCGTATTCATGCGTAAGGGAACGAATCCACCTAGATAACGAGGTCAAGATATCAACATCATAAGCGATTGAACCATGGAGCTCAGTAGGAGTTAGTGAGATAATTGTGAAGCCTAGAAGGGCCGTTAGAACATAGCGAGCAAGAAAGAGAACATTTATTTCCGAATTCCTGAACATCACAGTTCTTCACGGTGCGGCATATTTTGCGAGACATAGGCGAAATGGAAGTGAACTACACTTATCTAGCACAATACGATGAGAGTGATGCAAGTATTCCTCTCAGCATAAAGAAAAACGAAAATACGATTGCGAACTACATCGACAATTGGACATCTGGATGCTATCGCATACGCCGTACTGTCAAAAAGTCAGGTGGTGCAGACACCTGAGTCGAGGTATAATCTGAGCGAGGACTGCTTGACGAATGTCAACCAATTGGTTTTAAGAAATGTCAAGCACACAAAAGACTAGCAATGTGGTAATATTCATGTAGACCATCACATTTCCTTAGTAGACCTTTTTTTTACTGTTCCTGAATACCGTTTCCTGCTCTCAGCTAGTTCTATCGATTTTTTTGCTATCAGCAATCACCCGTCAACGGGATTGAGCTGAGAGACATGCGAAGCGAAGGACCCGGATGGTGTAGTGGTGAAGTGCGCTGCTCTCCGGTAAGGACAACAGGGCGTGTTCGTTCCCCACTGCATACACCTGTGGTCCGGAGTTTTGCAAATATCTCAGCATTTCATACGAGTTATAATTCGAAACATAACCTGCCATTAAGAAGAAAAAGGCAGTAAATAAAAGAGTTAAGATTACAACCACAACGTTGCTGAGATATTTGCAAAACTCTGGACCGCAGGTGTCTATGGTGGGGAACGAACGCGCTATTGTCCTTTCCGGGGAGTAACGCGTTCACCACCACACCATGCGGGTCCTTTGTTTTGCCTGTCTCTCAGCTATCTCTATCGATCTTTGCCACAGCAATCACCCGTCAGCGGGATTGATCTGGGGCGCCCAAATCGGCATAGAACTGTCCAGTATCTTGTTCGCAAACTCATTGTTCACGTGGGACGACGAGCAAGACCAACTCAGGCCAAAAAATCGTTTTAAAATAAGGCGCCGGGTCACGTGTGATAGTGAGACATTCGTCTTTCCATCCAAATCTTTGGATTTTCGAAATTAATCCAAAACGCCACAAGAGTCTTGCGCGTTGACGTGTTTGATTGCTGCGATATAATGTCACTTCGAAATCATCGTCATCGTGCTTCTGTGTCCTATGTGTTCCTAAAGGAGTGCGTGCTTTGACGAATTCTGACTTTCCCATCTAGGTGCTTTTTCATGCGAACACAAAGTGATCTACTCGTTTCCCTAATATATTCCTCACCGCATGCGTTACATCAGATCGAGTATATTGTACGAGAACCAATTCAGTCCTTGTCTCTTTCATTAGGACAGATCACACAATTTTCTGAGTTGCACGAACGATCTTACAGGCGGTTATGAACTAACTCAAGGCGTAGTATACTCGATGGGAGGTCAATAATGGCCACATAATTTTTAAGACCACTTCTTCTTGAGCACCTCTTAATGGCGTAACTTATTTCGTTTGATACGAAGTGTAGCTTGAAAGGGATCTTACTTGGGTTCGAAACATTATTTTGCGGAACAACCCTGCGATTTTGTCCAACCCGAGTGGCTTCTGTTTGGTTTTATCCTGCGAAATCTAACGATTCCTTCCCTTCCTCTTCTCCTGTGCACACATTTTTAGCTATTCGGTACATGCTTTTGATGAGTGCTTCCTTCATGTGTGAAGGATGAGAGGAGAGGTACTGAACTAGTATATTTTTACTGTTTGGTTTACGAGCAGTGGGCCAGGCGTGTGTGTGTGGCACAATGGTAGGAGGCGCCTTGCAGCACATACATGGAATCGATCCCTGCGTCCATGGCCCACCAAGCCTTCCATCCCTCTGGTGTCGGCAAATTGGTACCAGATTTGTCTGGGAGGATAGCAGCACTGGCTCGATAAATCGGTAAACCATTGCGAGTCATTGTAAAGGCCAGATATGCATTCAATCACCTCCAAACGATGTTTGATGAAGTTGAATGCATGGCGCATCCCTCAGGAATTGGTCAACGTCAAGAGCTCCGTTCTTTGTTCTACTAGGCTTACGATAGGTGCGCCAATGTGGTGTGCGCCAGATTAGAGAGCTTTCGAATTCAAAATCCATCCGACTTTCTGTTAGTGATAAAAGTGTAGAATGTGTAGTTATTCATAGCCATTTGGCTGTTAGAATAACAGAAAAACATTTCCACGATGTTTCCCTCTATCGATCATCCTCTGAAAAGGAGTATAAAAATCAATACCGAAAATTAAATCGAGAGTGGATCAACACGACAAAGCCAGTGGGTTTAAAACCTTCAGTTATTTCTCGGCCTAGGAACGGAAATCCAACTTGTTCTGCCCTATAATTGCTTATTAAGGCCTATAAACTTACTTCTACTGATGACATTGATCCTCCGATCTTTCGTCATTTAAGGTTCAACCAATCATCGGTTGTACAGGCGTACCATCATATAGAATAACATGGTTCCTAATCCTTATCCTGATCCAACTACTAAAGTTCATACTAACCCATTTCCCCAATATCGAAGCATTACTAGAACACCTCCGGTGCGCACACCCAAACAGCACGCATGTAATTCGATGTCACTTCAGTTTAGCACTAACATGTCGAATGGCTCTATAATGCAAGCCATTCTTGAGCACCTCTTAGAACATGGGAAGAAAATAAACAATTACGACTTGTCGATTGCACAACTAATGACTCTCTTAAAACAGTGTCCTATTTGTTCAGTCCTCACGTGGTCTGGAAAATATTTTGCAAAAATTAGAGTGTTGGCCATGGGGCAGCGTTTAGCACCAAACCTTGCCATCGCTTTCATATGTAACTTGGAAGCTCCAGTTGTTAATCGCTAACCCTTACTCTATTGTGGATACATTGACGGCTGCATCATCGTTTGTTACACAAGAACAGTTGGATGAATGCTTTGAAATGTTAAATAATAGGCAGTCAGAGTATAAAAATTTCACGAGAGAAAAACCAACGAAGAACTGGTTTTCCTTCTTAAACATTTAAATAAAGCTCTCAGAAAGCGGCCATGTAACAAAATGGCATCGAAAAATTAGTTAAAATATACTAGTGGTCTACCTCTCCTCTAATCCTTCACACATGAAAAAGCACTTATCAAAAACATGTACCGTACGGCTAAAAATGTGTGTACAGGAGAAAAGGAAAGGAAGGTATCGCAAAACGCGGCATGAAAAATAGCCATTTCCAATGGCTACGAAGTAGAAGCCACTGGGGTTAGAGGAAAACGTTGGGTAGTTTCTTAAAATAATGTTTCGAACCTAAGTAAGATCTCCCTTTAAGCTACCCTTCATATCAAATGAAGTAAGTCACGCTATTAAGAGGTGCTTAAGAAAAAGTGATCTTGAAAATTATGTAACGATTAATGACATCCCACTCAATACCCTACGCCGTCAGTTAGTTCGAAACCGTTTCTATGATCGTTTGTGCAGCTCAGAAATCTGTATTATCGGTGAACGGGAGAGACGGAGATTGCATGAGTTTAGGTATAATATACTTGATCTCATGTAAGGAATGCGGCGAGGAATATATCGGGGAAACGGGTAGACCACTTTGTGTCCGCATAAAAGAGCAACTAGATGGAAAAGTCAAAATCCGTCTAAACACTCCTAAACACTAGGTACCCATAGGGCACGAAGGCACAATGGCAATGATTTTAAAGTGACTGTGCGGATCCTAGCGCAGGAATCGAAAACATCAACGCGCAAGACTCTCGAGGCGTTTTAGATTAATTTCAAAAATCCAAAGATGAACTGGAAAGACGAATGTCTTACTATCACATGTGACCTGGCGCTTTATTTTAAAATGAGTTTTTGACCTTAGTTGGTCTCGTTCGTCGTCCCACGTGAGCAACACGCGATCGGTTCCAGTCGCAACAGCGCGGAAAGTAGTTCTTTTGATCAACATGACATTTATTTATGTGTTGAATCTTCACTAATGCTTTGATTTTCTCCATCGAATTATTGAGCTATCGTTGTATAAGACACTTCCAGGAAACGCCGATACGTCAGCCATCGGCAACACAAACAACAACAACAACAACAACAACAGCAACAACAACAACAACAACAACAACAACAACAATGAGGACAACTACACCAATCTCGCATAAACTCAACAAGACCAGTTCATAGGAACATATAAATAAATATACCGACTATTTATGCTAAATTTATAAAAATTATTTGTGTGCTAATTATTTGTCACATTCCTTTTGTTCAGAGCAGTGTAGCACCGCCAATAGATGAATGAAAAACCCGGTGGAACCATTCTGCCTTACCTCTATCTGTGAGTCGCGTTGATTTCTGCGGTGCTGTCCGATGCTCCTGAAACAATTGACAATGGAAAGCTTGAAGAATTTAAGGTTAAAATCGACCAGACCTTTCGGTTCTCCTTCGCAGTACGTCGAACGATAACCAGTGTAGGTACCATGGTATGTTACGTTTTGCTCTGACATCTCGTTCCAGAAACACAAACATCGACGTAGTAACTGTTGAAAGACCGATAATAGCTAGGAGAATAAAATAGTACAGACCTGTAAAAAGAAAGAACGTCGGGAAACCTGCCGTAAAGGCATCGTAATCCAAAACACTTTGTGGCATACCTATAAGAGGGATTCCTGAAAAAGAACCACGACCTCTTCTGTTGGAGGACATACTGAACTTGGGCATATCCTCAACAATAGCAAGGAGAATCACGGACATACTCATCAGTGTCATTATTCCCAGACGAAATTTTGCATCTCTGAAGCGCAACAGCCAGTTTTTGCTTTTCAGCTTGTTTCTTGAAACATTGTAGATATGATATTATTCGATTTCTTTTAAAGTTAAAATCAGGAGTCAGTCGGCTTTGTGGATCGACAGGAAGTTTGTCGACTTAAAAGTAGATTTTATCCAAAACCGCGGCGATTCTTGGCACTAGTTTGCTCTTAATTAGGGTTACACTCCTAAATATCAAATTCCTATTGGGCTTGGGTTTCTGCAAGCAATGAACTTCGTGTACATCGTATTTCGAAATTGAAAAGCACCATCATTCAGGTTGAGACGGTACGTCATTAGAAGAAACTAGTAATAAGGTTTAACGTTTTGTTTTCTGCCTTCTATAATTTTCATGGCAGGTTACTAAGTAAGCGAAATACAGCCACAACGTTGCTGAGATATTTGCAAAACTCTGGACCGCAGGTGTCTATGGTGGGGAACGAACGCGCTATTATCCTTTCCGGGGAGTAACGCGTTCACCACCACACCATGCGGGTCCTTTGTTTCGCACGTCTCTCAGCTATTTCTATCGATCTTTTTTTTTTGCCACAGCAATCACCCGTCAGCGGGGTTGATCTGGGGAGCGCAAATCGGCATAGAACCCAGTTAAGCTATGGCTGTAGTTGAAATCACAATGTTTACCGTTTTGTTTTCTGCCTTCTATAATTTTCATGGCAGGTTACTAAGTAAGCGAAATACAGCCACAACGTTGCTGAGATATTTGCAAAACTCTGGACCGCAGGTGTCTATGGTGGGGAACGAACGCGCTATTATCCTTTCCGGGGAGTAACGCGTTCACCACCACACCATGCGGGTCCTTTGTTTCGCACGTCTCTCAGCTATTTCAGAGTTTTGCAAATATCTCAGCAACGTTGTGGCCGTATTTCACTAGTAATAAAGTTATTGATGAANAAAAAGATCGATAGAAATAGCTGAGAGACGTGCGAAACAAAGGACCCGCATGGTGTGGTGGTGAACGCGTTACTCCCCGGAAAGGATAATAGCGCGTTCGTTCCCCACCATAGACACCTGCGGTCCAGAGTTTTGCAAATATCTCAGCAACGTTGTGGCCGTATTTCGCTTACTTAGTAACCTGCCATGAAAATTATAGAAGGCAGAAAACAAAACGTTAAACATTGTGATTTCAACTACAGCCATAGCTTAACTGGGTTCTATGCCGATTTGCGCTCCCCAGATCAACCCCGCTGACGGGTGATTGCTGTGGCAAAAAAAAGATCGATAGAAATAGCTGAGAGACGTGCGAAACAAAGGACCCGCATGGTGTGGTGGTGAACGCGTTACTCCCCGGAAAGGATAATAGCGCGTTCGTTCCCCACCATAGACACCTGCGGTCCAGAGTTTTGCAAATATCTCAGCAACGTTGTGGCTGTATTTCACTAGTAATAAAGTTATTGATGAAGTTATGGATAGTAATAGTATTTTGCTGTAACCTATGTTCACAACGTCCTACAACTCTAAGCAATCTTATAAAAAACTATTCCTATTGATGGGTTCTCTTCTGAGGCTATCCAGTAAATAGCCTCCTACATTGGATGTATACATCCTTTCAGAAGTGCATTTTAGTTCGACCTTCTTTCGACTTTCTCAGCTTCATTATTCGAATACCATAGTTTTTGTTCCACAAATCAAATCTTTTTGCATCTCAGAATTGAACCAAAAATCATCAGTCGTCTTTCAAAGAGCATCCATAGCATCTCTTGAGTTCCATTCCACAACAATCTACGTTTCTTGTCAGGTTTTCTTACCACGCACGCAACCACTCTTTGTCAGGCCGTTCCATCACGAGAACAACCACTCTAATGTTTCATTTCATATAGAAGTATATTATGAAGGAGCGCAAACAACGAGTATTTACAGCGAGTCTACACTTCAAAGTCGGACTGGATTTTGTACGAACTGGTTATTCCTCAAATGATTCGTTCAAGTTTTTCCAACATCAACTTTCTATTAACCTCGACATTGATGAATAACACGACCAAATGTTTTCTTGACAAGCGAGCACCAGGTTGTGCTTATAGTCTTTGTTAGTATTTAGCTGACATTTCGGCGGATTTCGCCTTCCTCAACGTCTGGAAAGATAGTACAAAATTTATTATTTAAAATGTGTCATTTTAACATGAAAGGGGATCACTCTGCATCCATGTAAATTCTGCAACACCGGTCTCCATGTGGACTACTCGGCGAAAGACTTGTAGAAAACAGTGAATGTGTTAAGATGCTACTTTTTTTTTCCAATGAAATTGAAATTTTGATGTCGCGGCTCTTCCGTCGTTGGTGCTATGGAGGTACTTGGCTGAATAGACTGCGGTTAACTTGACCTCTCCGGGTTATGAAGAATGCGACAACCGCCGAAACGTCAGCTACTATTAACAAATATTATGCTAACAATCTCGCACATGCCTATCGAGAAAACAGCAAATTACCGAAGTTTCTGTTACATGCACTACTTGTAGTGTGTGCACTCCTAGAGCGGTAGAAGTACCAGCGCCTCATATTTGCAATAGGAAACGGTCAAGTCAAGCAAGTCAGTCTAAAGCAGCTTCAGCTTAACTGGGATCAATGCTGATTTGTGTTTTCTAGATCATTTCCGACGGCGGATGACTGCTGACATCAATGACACAGTAAAAATATGGCCAAGTGAAAAGCAAACTAAACAAGGGCATCGGATGGCAAGTGAGTCCCTATTAAGGGTAAAGCTAAGCTAAAATAAAGCCAGCCGAATAGAGTCTCTTACAAACCTCAAGTCAGGATACTAGTGGAAAAAACATGTTGATTAATCATGTCGAGGTTAAAGGAAAACCAGTTCTTGAAACAATGTATTCTGTTAGGTCACTTTAAAATGTTAAGTATTTGCTTAATGTTTGTATTTGTTAAATGTTAAGTATTTAACCAATGGCAGAGGAAAGGAATAAAACAAAGACGTGTTACCTCATTCTTCCACTTGTACTGGGAGTGTGGAACCCAATTACGGCTACCAGAGTGATAATTGTGCTTGGAATAACCAGATTGAAAACTGTAAAAAAGGTGAATTATCTATTGAATGAGTATATTCGATATCAAAACAGGGAAAAAGATTTCAGTGTCCGACACTTGCCATAGTAAAAGCTCTGTCGTTCAACTACCAAGTCGATAATGATCATTTCCCAAAATAGAGGAGGATCTAAGTAGTCGTAAAGAAATCCGTCTGACTTCACTGTACTTCGCACCTGGAACTGCATAAAATTTATTCATTTAGTGTGTAGTTGTAAAGCACGGGAAAATTGTAGAAGTGTAGTAAGGTAAAACAATTTTAAAAAACTGTTAAAATGCACCCACCGTATCAAGCTCCCATTCTTGATTGTCATAAAAATCAATGAGAGAAAGCTTAGGTGTGTACAACGAATACTTAATGGAGTCATTTGAGTGAGCCCATGAACCGAACAGAAGTGTGCATTGCTGTCTGAAGAGGGATAAGATGGCATGGTTTGGAGCAGTAAGCAAGAACTCTATTAGAACTTGCAATTGATCTAAAGTATATCTTAGCGCGAACAATAAGCATGGAGTATTATATCGTTCTCATAAAATCGTGAGGCGTTCGTATTGCTTGGGCCATTGTCGCCGAGGTGAGTGACGTATGACTCGTTGATTTCGGACTTTTATTTAATCGCATAGAGGTTTTCATGCACTTTTTATGTTTATTCGATTGCGCGGCAAACACGGATTTTATGGTGTACATGAGCCAGGAAAAGTCCTATTCTGCACTTAACAATGCACAAAAACCTTTTTTTAAACGAATCAATTGACCGATATACTGGTTATTAGCTCTTACTTCAATCCATTCGTTGTGACAAGTCATGGTTATCGCATGGAATGGGCAGGAATAAATGAGCTCAGTAAATATAAACAGGGAACAATAAGGAACAGGCATAAAATTGGTTGCAAAACAATTCCAAGTGCTGACGGTAGTCGTTTTCTTGTTCAGAAACCACGAGGTTGTTAAAGAGCATATGTTTACTTCCATACAATAACACACATACAGCACAATCGTAGCTGACGTTTCGGTAGAATCGCCTTCTTCAGAGCCTGGAAAGGTACACTAATACGCAATTATTAAGACAAACGAAGAAGGTGATACTGCCGAAACGTCGGCTACTGATGCATTGTGTTTTTGTATGGAAGTAAATGTATGCTGTTTAACAACCTCGCGATTGCTGAGAAAGAGAACGACGCATTCATATTCCAATGCCGAGGTTAAGAGAAAGCCGATCCTGAAGGCTGAAGAAGTGGTGTTTATATGATAGACCACAATAACACATAGTAAATAGTAAATAGTAAATATTCTACGCACATCTCAAAAGTGATAAAGCATGGTCAACTCTATAATACGGTCATATTTTCAGACCCTTAAGTCCTTTCGTTATCGAAAAATTATCGTCTATCAACGAAAAATCAACAATGCTACAACTGACACGAAACTAGGCGTCGTCGCATTTGATTGCCGCATAAAATTAGGCGTCGACACAACTGTATCAAACAATGGCGTAGCAGAAGAAGAGCAGACTGTCAACTACTGATGCATTTCCACACATTCTCAGTTCCATAACCTTGCTCATTACCGTGAAGAAAGCGGTAGTATTTCACGGGTAATGTTGAATAAGCGTTAGATGATATTAAGGCAACAGAAAGTCACAATCGAAAGTCGTTTGGAAACGCCTACTAGAACAGTCATGGATTGAGGAGATTTCAAGCTTTTTAGCCAATATGTAGCAGTATGCTTTTTTGTGCTAATTTGATTTACAATTCTATTTTTTGAAAGGATAAATGATAAAGCTTTCGGCGTTGATCAGTCCTTGAGAGATGAGTCATGCATTCGACTTCATTAAGCAATGTTTGGAGGTGACTGAATGCATATCTGGCCTTTATAATGAGTCGCGGTGGCCTACCAATACATCGAGCCAGTGCTGCTATCCTTCCAGACAAGTCTGGAACCAATTTACCGATCCAGAATGGATGGAAAGCTTGTTGAGCCACGGGTAGAGGGATCGATCCCATGTGTGTTCTGCAGGGCGCCTCCGACCACTGCGCCACACGCGCTGTCAATCCTGTATTTTAGTAAATATAAATCACAACTGTACGCACAGAAAATTGAAGAATTTTTCGTGAATTTAAACAAACTCGCAAATGATATTATGTTCATTTCTTCTTGATCTTCTCGGTAGTTCAACTTACAGCTTTTTGAGTGATTACCGATAATGGTTCATAAATGAAAGGAAGCTATGAATATTTTTTAAGAAGAAAATGCCTACGTATCAAAAGGGAAGAATTTGACATCGAGTTTGCAGAGGCTTTCCGAAGAGAAGGGAATGTAGTAGCGTACGTGACCAGTGTGGTTGACGCGAATGTCATTGTTAGATTGCAACTTCACGGCGTCGTTGAAGTTCAGACTGAAGAGTGCTAACCCTTGGTTGATTGAGTTACATGAAGTAAATACAAATTAAAAACCTTCAAATCACCTCGTCACAAAAACTTATTCCTACATGAAGACTTAGACAAGGAAAATGCATCCCAACGATTTACCGCCTGATCGCACTTGGGAGTCGTCCCTGTGGGAATTGTACAAGAACCAGCGTATTTTCAATTAATCTAGTATGAAGTCGGTCTGCTAAGAAATTGTCTCACCACCCTCTTCGGCACTGGCAGCTAGTGGTCCATCTGATTGGGATTGCCACATTGCGAATAAGATTCTTCCAGAGGACAGCTCTCTTCCGTTACTGTTTTGTTTTAATGGTAACAACTCAGTCCACTGCAGCGTCTCATTTGGGAAACCACTATGTTCAGCAACGTGTTTCATTCTTGTAACAGCAAAGATTTTACAGAGTCGTTGGATTTACTTCTAACAGGTCATTCACATCTCGCTATATGCGCTTCCTTTGTTTCGTTGATGGCTAATACGTGATATTCAGTCGGTATTACAATTCGCTGACACTATTGGCACATTGAATAACTTTTCGCTGAAGTTGTAATACCACGACGGAAATGAGGAGCGGAACTGCTTTGGTTCCAAACATGCACGAAATTTGTTACGTCGCCAGACCCAGCGACTCTGCTTTTTCTCTCTACGAACACGCCGAGCAGTTGGTCTCGCTTGGTTGCTGGGAAGTGTAGACTTGATCGAGAACTGTTCGCATCTAGCAGAACTGGTCCTTCAACTAAATCACGACTCGAATTCTCGTTTTCTCTGATCAAGGAAAGTGCAACCTAAGCCTGACGCAGATATCCTTCTGGATTGTTCGGCTAACACGAGGCTGTTATAAAATTTCTACTCGGGTAAGGTTTCTGCTCCTTCATTTTTTTCTGGTAAGGATATTTAATTGCTCTTTTGTCCTACTTGAGCTCACATATCATGCAACTGTTGGTTATTATTTTGTCGGAACTGTTGATTTTATTATATATTACGTGAGATAAATAGATCTTTTACAACTCAGTTATTCTAACAACATTCTGGGTTTATTTTCTTCGAACAAATGGTATCTTATGTGCTCTAAACATTTTGTGTGGATAATTCTTGATGTAAGGCACTGAACTGAGTAGATGTCGTCATAATGTAAGAAATGGTCGGCGAAAATGAATACTTCAAATAGATGGGTTCCGTTTCGAATAGGCAACTGTTGAAGTCATTGTGCTACCGCTGACAAAATAGCCAGCAGTTCGTGAGTGGAGCGTGCAGATGGATTTCTCAGATCTTTGGATCTATGCATTCCCTTTCGGCTTCCTTTCCGGGTGCGGCGACAGCGAAATTTTCGCCGGAGACTGAAGTGGATGTTTCGCGACCAAAACCATAGTGTGTAGTTAGCCGGTTTATAGAGCGATGACGGCAGATTTTTTCGATCCAACAGGAACGTCGTCGTTCGCACGGACATGGTCGGACAAAGCTAGTGGCGACTTGTGTATTTACGATTCGAAGTATCCTCATGCGCACTTTCCGCAATCGCTTCTCTTCGTAGCATTTCGGTTTTTCACCGCTTGCCGCTCTCTCTTTCTTTCTACGTGTTTTCTTCTCAAAAACGAAATTATTGTATTCATTTTTGCTATTTGCCATCAACTGTTGAAAAATTGCTGTGGTGGCTTCTTCAAAAATTTCTGTTCGACAACAGGTTGGACTGCCAGCGTTCATCTTCTGTTTTCGTTCGCTCAAAAGACATCTCCTTTCCAAACCTGCCTTGTACGGTGGGAAGAACATCTCTTGTTCCTACTGAACCAGTTTTCCTTTCTGTATGTTATAGGTTGGAAAAGGCTGAAATATTTGGCGATAATTTACTGACTTAGGTCTCCTCTCTAATCATCACAAGTTAGTGTTAAATAACTCCAGAAGCTTCCACATATTTCCGCTGTGATCTAAACATTGTGTATGTTTGGAGCTTACAAAGTTTGAGTATTCAAGGACACATTATTATTTAACATACTTCAGATATTCGTATAGAAATGTTGCTGAATATCGTAATCTCGTAATAATTCTGTTAGGAATGTAGTTTAGTCCTATCCATCAAATTCTGTTTGGCTGTAGTAAATTGATCATGGCAATGCAAATAAAAAAGAAAGACGAACCTATAATAAAGAGAAAATTCTGGAATCCAGATATCTGACGAAGAGAGGAAGATCTCAGTTGCTCCTTCATAACTGGACGGGCTCCATTGCAAAAACTCGTCGATCCAGTACTGTAAATGTAAATCTTACTTCTTTTCCTCTCCTACGTCTCTGTATTTCCATCTTTGTATATACATTCTTTTCTAGAAATATCTCTCTGTCTCTTTGTTTATTTCCTTTTGATTGAATGAGTTGTCGTGACCACTTCTACAGACGCCACGAGCTGGGTGTAAGAATAAAGGAATCTGAGTGCGTAGTATGTTTGCAAATAAGTACGGACTACGTTTCTCATTCATCACGCAAGCGGTTTTCTACACAAATTCTGAGATTTGATTCCTCGGTAACGACTCTGACGCTTCGATAATCGAACATTTTGCTGTGTTTTGTCATCACATATTCCCCAGCCTCATTATTCACCGCAAAACCTACTGGGTTTTCCAGAGCAGGATGAACTATTTTAGCCATCGTCCATAGCCACCTGAGGCCCGGACAAATGTGGCGGGTGGTGTTTGTTTTCGGCGCAGCTCTCCCTCACTTCGTGCATTCACAAGTGGCCACCAAGACCGGTAAGCGATTTGAGTGGAATTTTCAAGAAGAAAATCTCCATCCACCATAATTAGCTTCAGTCTTCGAACTTGATATTGCCTGTTGAATTTTGATATTACCCTTCTGGTGTAACTTCCAAGTCAGGAGTCATAACCATTCTAACAATGACATTCTACGAAATTATGGTATGAGGACTAGAAAAGAACATTACATTTACATTGTATAGTGAAAATCAACTCTTGAAAAGAAGAGAAAAGCAGGAATAAGTTTTAATTTAGACCGACTTAAAATCTGTAACATGTTTATGAAAATGACCACTGCCCTTGAAATTCTTTCTTTCAGTCAAAACCGGCGTAATTCTTGATTAGAACTTATGTCTTACTACTTGCATCACTTAGTACTGCTACTTACTTATACTACTTGCATTTATGAATTTTTTTTGTCCTTGAAAAATCATGCAAAATCGCGGTGTCCAATGACTAAATCAACTTCGTGGTTTAAAGAAAGTTCTGGTACCTCCGACTATTAAGCTAACACGAAGTTGGAAAGTCCATGGTAGTTATTGAAAGTCATAGTTGACTCCCTAAAGGAGAAATCACTTCACGAAACTGTAGTAGCAATAGTGGTTCCGGAAAAACGATCTCCAGTTCTAGTGCTCTACACGGTAACCATGTGCTAGCAGTAGCTCTTGGAATGAGACAAAGCCGAAAGAGCTGGGCATTGCGGACTCTTACCGATTAACCGGTTACCCAACTTCCAGCTTTAAGTGTCATTTATGGAAAACAAACAAGGTTTTTCATTGCGAAATTGGCGAAAGCCGTTCGATCATGGATGTTTCGGATCGCTCATGCAGTTTATCGCGCATTTGCCATTTGGAGTTCATCATCATTGTCGTAGAAGTGAACTCCCGAAGACAAAAAGTAGAATTGTGAAAACCTTTCCTAACAAGTATCAGCATTTGTTATGGTGATTAGTGAAGAACACTGTCACTTTTAGAGACAAAGGCGCGAACACTCAGAGAAATTGCTGTAACAATATCCTGATTACTGATTGTTACTTAAGAGGCAGGTGTCCTTTCAGGTCTCCTGTTTATTTACATTTATCGTTTTTTTGTCGACTATTCTTAAAATACTCAAGTGAATATGGTTAGTTAAAAGCTCGTAATATTCCGGATACACGTGTAACATATTGATTAAATATGTTCGATCGATCGTTGTGGAAGAGTCATAATTGCTTTTCTAGCCATAAATTCTTCACGCTGATCGTTGGATGTGGTCGCTTTTTGCTTAAAAAAAAGAGAGCTGAACTCCTAAAATTGTTCGCTATTGTGGTTCAGAGCGCCTTGGAGTGTATCCAATCCAGATGGGTGGATCGGCGCTCCTAATCGGGTTCACTCGACGAGGGCGATCTCGTAAAGATGTTGATTTGGCATATGGAAGCTCAAATAATGTTGGCATATTAGTCTTTTGCCTAACTGGCCGAAATTGTTTAATCGCTTCAAAGTAGGAGCTTCGATGGAACGAAGCGAAAAAAGATTTCATGAACATCGAAAAATAAGGGTCTTGGCTAGGATTTACTTTGATAGAACAAAAAGCTTTCCTTCTTGTGCCTTTATACAACAAATGTGCCTTCTTGGAAAACAAAAGGCATATTTTATTGCTACCTTCTACGTGTGGCGCAGTGGTCGGAGACGCCTTGCAACACACACGTAGAATCGATTTTCGCGCCCATGGCCCACCAAGCCCCCCATTCCTCCGGGGTCGGCATATTGGTACCAGATTTGTCTGGGAGTATAGCTGCGCTGGTTCGACACATCAGTAAGCCACCGCGAGTCATCGTAAAGGCCAGATATGCATTCAATCACTTCCAAACGATGCTGAATGAAGTCGAATGCATAGCGCATGTCTCATTGATTGATGAACGACGAGGGGTTTATCCTTTATCCTTTTACCTTCTCTGATTAATCAAGTTCACTAAGAGTTCAGGCGTGTGCTCGTTCGAAGTTAGAAACCAAAATGTACTCAAATAAATTCATACGTTCCCGAATAGTAAATTAACTCGATTGTAATCATTGATTAGAAAACAATTTCCTCCACACCAATAGAATATGGAATCAGTGTGGAAATGACGAGCACGACACTGAAGCTAAAGTGTTCTCAAAAACTAGGACTAAAGGGAAGAAAGTATTCTGATAGCTAATTATATCTCTGTAGATAGAATTCACTGCCTCCAGGGATTTTAGGACAGTTTAAATTACTGCTTAGAAGAGCAGACTCGCAAATTGATCAATTGCACTGAGAATTTCCCTAACTGAGCCAATTATCGTTGCGCCCGTGCCGGTCCAAGGGAACCATCGTAATAGGCCGAGAGCCAGGGAATTGTAGCGGATTTCTGGATGATTCAGAACAAAATTTCCGACATTTATTCACTAACTGGGAACTGATTTGCCATAGAATACACATTTTTAGGGCATCGTATTCTTGCTAATTTAATTTTAGCTCATAACGCCAACGTCAGGTTTTCGACAACTAACGATGATTTCTTATTCACTGGATTACTTGGGGGACTGAAATGATGCCGAGATATTTGCCAAATTCGGACCCCGGGCCAAATTCGAATCTGGCCTGGAGTCCGAGATCTGGAAATATCTCAGCACCATTGTGTTTGCATTTCACCTAATACCCTGCCACGAAAAAAATACGCAGTGAATAAAAAAATAAACATTAAACTGTTTAAGGTTTAGGCGATTAAGGTGATTGCTGATGGCAAAAAGATCGATAGAACTAGCTGAGATACATGCAAAGCGAAGGACCCGGATGGTGTAGTGGTGAAGTGCGCTGCTCCCCGGTAAGGACAACAGCACGTGTTCGTTCCCCACTGCATACACCTGTGGTCCGGAGTTTTGCAAATATCTCAGCACTTCATACGAGTTATATTTCACAACATACCCTGCCATTAAGAAGAAAAAGGCAGTAAATAAAAGAGTTAAGATTAAGCTGTTTGTTTTTAATTTCTGTTGTTCGACTTCATGGTGAGAGAATGTTGTGCACTGCACTTGAGATCTGCACTTGGATAGTCCCATTTCAACTGAAACCATTGCTACGATATAGTGTACGACACCGTTGTTTCAGTGATCGACTTTTGTTCGATGTCCGACCCACACTCGTGTGGCCCGGGAGTGTGCGTGGCGCAACGCTCCGGAAATCGCTGTCGGTGCCCTACTGGATGGATGGGCCGGAGATGCGCCAGTGAGTTCCACCTGCTTGTTAAAGCTGACAGAAAATCCAAGCGATGTCAATGCAGGCCGTTCGGTTCACATTTTCGACCATTTCGCTTAGTCATCCTAATAGTCAACAAGAAATGCAACAGGTTGTTACTAAATGGGCCAGAAGCTGTCATTTCAACAGGGAAAAGTGATTAGATTCTTGTCGAGTCTGTAGATGATTTTCATGACCTGTTCCTTATCGTTCTTCAGAAAAACCCTCTCAAAATAAGTTCATGAGTGAATTTCGCATCATTCCAATTTCTCACTTCTAATTCACTTAATGTTTCAAAATCATTCTTTTAAAATATATTTTGTATCTACTATTTTGCTGTTGTTAGCCTATTGGTTCTTAATTTCCCACCTTTATTCCTTGCCCTGCATTTTAATTTTGAAATAACTCGAGCTCTACGTGACAATGCACAAAAAGATATCTGGCTGGCCGGAATTGCAATCTTCTACATTTACATACATCACTTTCGAATGGGACTTGTTGCTTAGATTACATCTAGCTTTTCAGTTGTACTGGGTAGTCGGTTTTCATTCACATAACGTTCATCCCCATTAGGGCAGCGTTCTGAGCAGTCCATTTGTTTGAGGAACTGTTCAGTGCACAACATGCAAACGAAAGAAACCCTTCTAATCCTACGAAACTGCGTTCGCTGTTGGATTTCAGAGTGCTCATTTAGGACTTAAGGCGTTTGCGAACATCGAGAAGGTCGGCACGAGAAGAGGCGCAGAGAGAAACGTAAGCAGCGCGTGAAAAGCTCTGGATTTCTTTAGCACATCCTGATAGCGCAACTTGTCCCTGAGAAGAAAAGAACGTATGACGACTGTATGCGATTTCTATTTAAAACAGAAAGTAACCGAAGCCATTTGGGAAATATTAAATAAACAGGAATTCGTAAGAAAAAAAGTAGGCACGGATTGAAGAAGGTGGCATGAAAACGTCCTGTAAAGCCATGTAAAATGAAAGAAGTGATAGTTGATAGAGGCTATTACAATATCCATTATACCAATATTGGAATATTATGTGAGTTGAGAAGATCCAGTAAAGGTTTTAAGAAACAACATGTGAACTCTCAGAAATTTTGAGGAAAATCTAAGTATGATTTTTTTTTGATGATTTTATGATAAAAGAGCACGAAAAGACGAAAGAGATGCAACTGAAATTCCGCCCTGCAAAGCTACAATGGGTGGAAGCAATTTCTCCATTTCTAAGGACCATGCCAGGATGTCTATCGTAGTTGCAAGCGATGGGAAGAGGAGAAGCGCTGCACGTGGACTCTACCGATTTCGCCTTTCTTCACAGATAATTGTGCTCTGTCCTGTCGAATTTGTCGCAGTAATGGAAAAAGTAAGCAGTTTTCCAACTTAATGCCAACGGTGTGCTATTAGGCATGAAGACATGGTGCATTGAATCAGATGAGGATTTTACAGAACTGCCTCTGGCACTTCCGCCTATTCTCGATAATATCGCATGGTTCGTTGGTCGGTGGGAGTGCAGAACGAGGGCTGGAGAACGGTATAAAGCCTAGTAAATTATGAAACTACTGTTGACCATTTACTCCTCCAAAGCAAACTGCTCCTAAATAATTTCATACTTCAACTTTTGACACCTATCTTACTGTTCTGGAAAATTTCTAGTTCACGTCAAAAATTTTCGTTAATTGTTTAGAGTTAAAGGACATATCTATTACAAGGAGCCTTCTGCTCCAACAACTTTTAAGACATGACTCTTCTTATTTTAAAGCGCTTTTAGTTCTAAAAGTGTGTATGAATTGTATTTCACTCTCTCTGTGTTCGCAGACATTGCTATGAGAACGCTTCATTGGCCAAGTTTTGGCTCAGTGAAAGCTAGAACCAAGAACAACACTTGACTACTTGCTTCAGTTTCCCCGAGTCTTTGTCAGGAGCATACCGGGAGGTACTTGACGTTCAAATCTCCGACGTGCCGATGTTTGACCGACCACCAGTGAACATTAGGTGAGTAATAATCATAATTAAACCACCGTATCTTATGAAATTTCAAACAAAACTCTATGATTTTTTTCAAAGTCGTGGCCCTGCTTTTTAACTTTCATAAATGGTGCAATATGCTGTTTTCTTAGCATAATTTTCATGTCGTTTGAAGTAACCAGAGTCTGAAGATAGAAAATGCGAAGAATTATCTCCGTTCTCTAGTGACTCATCAGCCATATGGGTATTCTGTGGCAAAAGACATGCATGAAAATCCTGAGAGGATTCCTTTCACGGCGAAGATAGAAAGAAGCTCACAAAAAATATGCAGACATTATGTATTTGATGGTTCCCTTTCTATCAGTATTTAAAGCGCCGCTATTGGTGAGATTTGTCATGAAGGAAAGAGTAAAGCAATTTTGCTTTTCTAAACTCCGACAGAAAATTTCTGCCTTTTATGAACGTTTTTTGAATAATTGGCGTTGTTTATATGTGAAAGTCTATCTATGTCTTGAAAAAACCGCAAGAATTCATATAAATCCCGACCACAAGATTTCTGTTCTGATATCGACCTAGAAACTCTCGCCAAGGGTTATACGAAGTCTGCTGTTTGCTTCTTTCTAATGAATTAGTTCCAGCTCGTCTAGCCACTACAGAAACAGGTTCTGGATAATTTGACCCTCAACCTAAGCCGACTTGCAGGTTTTGCTTATGTTTGCTCATTGCCATTACTGGCATTCATTGATAGAATTACGAATGGCGCGTGGTACGGAATAACCTCGTGCAAATGAAATCGGGTGCGTGTGCCCCAGTGGTCGGAGGCGCCCTGGACACATACATGGGATCAATCCTTGCGCCTCTTGCTCACCAAGCCTTCCATCTTTCTGGGGTTGGCAAATTTGTACCAGACTTGTCTGGGAGGTCAGCGGCACTGGCTCGATACATCGGTGGGCCACCGCGAGTCATTGGACAAGCCAAATATGCTTTGAATCACCTCCAAACGATGCTTAATGAAGTCGAATGCATGGCGCATCCTGAGAGATTGATCAACGTGGAGAGCTTTATTTTTGTAAGTGAACTCGAACTATGTTTAAGATGCAAATATTTAGAGTATGATGCAGAATTTAATAAAATGTTGCGTCTAATTTATTTTGAACTTTCAATCTTGCTGTGGAAGTAATTTTAAATGTTATTGTAGGATTTTGTGGAAGAATGCTATAATTCTGTAGAGACATGATAGTTCCGTAAAGAGAAGGATGACTCTAAAAAAGTGCTGGCCTTGAAATATTGGGACATTTCAGGACGACTTTTACCATTATGATGGACTAACGCCATCTGGATTTCGATTGTAAAGCTTCTGGTCCAAGTTCTTCTAGTTTTTTTCTGCTCCAGCACATCAGCAGTAACTGAGGACGGTCGAGATGTTCATACGGAAGTTGGTTTTATGACGAGTAAGCCGTTCAAGGAGGACACCGGCTTCATTGAGTACAATAAACCAGCAGAAGGTGAAGATCAGGTCGCTATCGAGACTGTCGGCAACAACGGTCGGTGTCACTTTCATTAAGTTTATTATAATTAAAACCTTGAGTAGAAGTTCAGCTACTTGCAACTTTTGTGTAACAGGGGTATTTCTTCGCTCTTTTACTAGCTGACATGTCTTTATAAGAAATAGTTTCTTTTGGCGTTTTAGGGAAGATAAACGGGAGCATTAGAGTGTACGAGACGGCTTAATCACAAAGGCGAAAGAAACATAAGCTTCGTTATTGTCGAATTTTGAAAAACATTGTTTGGCAGTGACATAAGTAATTAATTATGAACATTTGCGCCTTTTCTCGTCTTTCTAAGCTAAATTTCACTGACGGTTCAAGTTGACTTAACTCTAGATCGAATTGTTCATACAAAGTCCCTATACTTCACGGTTGATTATAATACGCGTAAATGGGCCGAAATCTGGCTGCTGAGAGTAGTGTGTGGATCGGAGAAAGGAGTGGAGCCTTGCTCCCATTCTAATGAATTTCCTTCATTTACTTTGTTTCTCTTCGCATAAATGGGATAAATTTGGTGTATTCCATGCTGTTTGTTTATCTTCAGAGCTTCGGATTTGACAACAATGACCCAGATTAACACCTTTCTGATTAGCTTCTATCTGCCCGCCTGTGTCAAGAAAGAAAAAGGGAGAATTCCAGACATCAATAAACCACAATGACATGTGCCTCAATAATTGTGTTCTATTTAAAAATGAGTAAATATGGATTTTGGTGTGGGCCTTGGACCTAATCGATCGAATTCTTAGCTTACAAATCATCTTCGAGTCATTCCTGAGCACCTCGTTGCAATACGCCCTATCACCATCCATATCGTGTCTACAGCCTACCTCAGCACTGTCTGAAAAGGAACCATCTTAAAATGGCGTTGGACAGACGGCAGAACGTGGTGGATATTCGAATGGTTTGACGAAAGGGCATGCCTCCTGGGAATGGGGTTGTGCCAACGGGTTGATGTGCAGTCACCCCAGAAAGATGAAAACAACAGTTGCACACAATTGAAGTTATTTTTGGACACTACTTTACACGAAAGAAAAAATTAAAAAATATTACTCCGTTAAAGAAAAGAGAGCTGTTAAACGTCATGGAATGTCAAATATTTTTGACGGCATAGTGGACCCCAACTGTTCTAACACAGTTCTCGTCAATCTGGCTCTCAGCGGTTTAGATACTCACGAACAAATATGGAAGAAGCAAGAGTTTCGATTTGGAGAAAACCATTTGTCTTTAAATAGTGTTTTGCACTTTACAATGGTTCCGCTGGTGGCTGTCATCTTTCGGCACGTATTCTAATTGTCGGAAACAAATGCTCATCGGCCGATGGCCGTCTAGCGGAGCCAATCAGCGCGTGACAGAGAAGTGAGAGATTCTTAACCCGAGTCCATGAATAGGAAGCAGTTAACCCAGAACACATGAGGATCGCTTCCTCGATCTATCGCCCATGGCCGAGTCACGGTGTCTATTTGCTGCTTTCATTTATACCATGACGTGTAGCAACCTTGGATCTCAATACCCAACCACAACGTGAGGTTGGTTGCCCATTAGCACTAAAAATCCACTTAATCCCACTTGTGCTCATCAAACGTGTAACACCAAGACAATTAAAACGTTAAGAAATGGTTTCTAAAGAAATTTTTCGGAGCATAAGACCATTTTCCTTAGAATCTGCTCAAAAAAGTACCTAAGAAAAAAATGAAATTGAAAAAAAGAGAAAAAAAAAGAAAATTAATTAACGTGGCATCGAGTATGAGATAATATTGTCCGATTGTCACATAAACCATGAAATCTCCATAACGATGAAGTATATTCGTCTGTTCGATACGAAAAATGATGTGCGCAATCATTCTTGTCTGAACCTGCACTGTCGTTAACTACGGCATGTAGTCATGCGGAGAGATCGATTTTGTGGGACCTCATTTACATCAGAATTATTATCGCAAATCTGGTTTCGGAGCGGCTGTCTAGATTTTAGCCAATTGACCTCTTCAAGAGGTAAACATAGCTTTCCTGTTGGGAAAGCGAGAAGCTGTGACGACAGCTCTTTGTCTGCTCGGTGATCAAACTGAGAGAGAATGAATTGGAAAGAGAAGAGTTTCTATCAAAACCTTTGCATTTTCCATAAATCTGTGGACATTCCCACTAAGGTTAACACTATTTTCAACAATTTTAGAAGTATGTATGAATTCTAGTTAATACGTGTTCTCTGTTCTCAAAAATATTAAAGGTCTTCTGAAGTACCTACGATTAAATGAAATACTCATGCCTCCTAATTGCAACCAATGTGGAACCGTTTTCTTTTGTTTCGAATAGAATACGATCGCATGAGTTGAACTGTTTCTTCTTTTACTGTAGTCCACTGATCACAGGAATGAGAAAATTTGAAGCCAGGTCATAGCAGGAGAAGAGTCATTTTAGGCTTGATAATTATCGAAGAAGGGATTGTGAAGGAAGGTGTCATAATGTTGGAGACGAAATTCAAACGATCTGTTCTTAACGACGATCGCATCTTTAAATCGGTGAGCTCCATCCGTCGGCGACTCACCAACGCTGGAAACCAACGAAAGTGCGCATTGTAGGCAAGACGGATGTTTTTGCTGGTGAAGCCGGACCTGATGGAGGAGCGCGTTATAATCACCGACTCCAATGGGATCACTAAGAAATGGTTGAAGAGGTATGCGTACTTCATGATAGAGAATTTCGTTCTGAACACATAAAAGTTCTTAGGCTACTTGACTTGCTGTATAGGAAGGAACAATGCAATTCATTAAAAGCACATTGAGAATTTCACAAAGATTACGGAGACTCCTATTTCCACCAGTACTTGAACTAGACTGCAAGGTGCTCATTTCTTACAGATTAGTCGACCTTCATATAACGAATAGTTTGAGTAACCTTTACTACAACTAGGTACATTTTTGTGTGATAAGTAGGATTATTGATTCCTTTGGTTCACAATTTCCACATACAGACTACTAGTAGCTCGTTAAAGGTACGGGCCATTGATTTCCGAATAAACGAGAAAGGAAATTCAGTATGTGAGGACCTGGCTTAACGGCAAATAATCTTTTAACAGTGTTAACGCTAGTAGACTACTTCATGGAATCAGTGTTTGCGAGAACTCGTATAGAATTTCAGATTCAAGAGGACATTCAACTACTTGACGGAATTTGTTCCAGCTGAGATCTAGAAGTGCGATACAAGAAAATTCTCTCAACTCACCAATTCGAAACTTCCCGATAGGCTGATTGTGTTCTTCACAGCATCCTGAAACGCGACCATTGGATTTTTTTCGGGTATTGACTGCTTTTCTACCATCATCTTTAATAAAGATTACCAATTTGACGATTTGATAAAGGAATACACTCATCGAGACGGAGACAATCTTGCTCGGATGTGTGACTGGTCGTGTTCCCTTCCTGAAAGCTGTTCTCTTAATCGACTTTCTATTAAATTTGGCACTTATAAACAATCTACCCTTCTTTTATAAGCGCGCACAAAATTGTTATTAAATAGTATTTATTCACAAGGGTTAACATTTCGGCGGATTTTGCCTTCTTGAGAGCCTACAGAGGTCAAGTTGACTGCAATCTAGTCAATCAAACACCTCCATAACCGCAACAAAATGACCACGATGGCAATATTTAACCACATTGGAAATATTAATTTCTAGTATTATTATGCATAGTAGCTGTATTGTGGTTAGGGGCGCGTGTAGCGCAGTGGTCAGGGACGGCCTGCAATACACATGGTATCGATTCCCGCGCCCACGCACACCAAGCCTTCCATCTTTCGAGGTCGGCAAATTAGTACTAGATTTGTTTGGGAACACTGATTTTATATATCGCTAGACCACCGAAAGTCACTGTTTAAGCCTGATATACATTCAACCTCCTCTAAGGATGTTTAACGAAGTCGAATGTATGGCTCATCCCTAAGGGATTGATCAACGCCGAAAGCCTTACCGTTGACCTTTTTACAATAACTCTTAAGGGTCGAAAGAGGTAAAACTTCTATTACGAAGTGCTATACATATCCTGTTCCCTCATAATGTATACCATTTTTGACAAGTGTTTTGTTAGCTATATTGTGAAAAATTTATGCGAGAACAACTTACGCGGAACCGGATCCCATTGTTAAGCGTTCACACAAGCTTTTTCTAAAGCGCTACGGCATAAATTGCGTGGACAATGAAACATCATATTTCACGCATGAAAAACTCGTCTACCAAACAGCAACAAAGGAGTGCACAGGCGAAGAAGAGAGGAACCAATGATCACATTTGACACGAGAAATAGCTATCTCTAATAGCTACGAAACAGTAGCTACTCAGGTTAGACCTGGGAGGGATATTAAGAGGATGAGAAACAAAGCTCTCGGCGTTAGTCAACTTTTGTGGAATGCGCCATGAACACCACTTCATCAAGCATCGTTTGGAGGTGATTGAATGGATATCTGGCCTATACAATGACTTATGGTGGCCAACCGATATATCGAATAAGTATCCTGTCGGACAGGTCTGGTACAAATTTGTCGCTTTCGGAAGTGGAAGGTTTGGTGAGCCCGGGCGTGGGATAGAACCGGTAAGCATGTGCCTATTGCAGGATACCTCTAACCACTGCTCTACCCGTACTGTATTAGAGAAGGATATTATAGACAACAGATCTGTTTTAAATAACATTGCTCTAAAAGTACTTTCCGCGCCCAACGAAATAGACACTGCTATTAAGAGTTACCTAAAAATGATTAGTCTAAAGAATTTTCAGGCAGTGAACACTCTACGTCGTTAGTTGCATCGAAACCGCTGTATGAGTGCCCATGTAAGATATATAAGGTTGCATGACTTTTCTTAACTGCAAAGATGGAAATTGCTTGAGTTTACATAGAATTGACTTGACATCTTGTGAAACATGCGGTGATGAATACACTGTCAAGTCAGTTAGCTTGTGCCCACATAAAGGAACATCTGGACGGAAAACTTCGATTCCAACAATGTGCTCTCCCAGGTGTACACATGAAATTAGAAAACGGCGGTGGTGATTTTGAAGCCGCTGTCACGATGCCGACTCGGGAATCAAAGACATCATCGAGTAGAATTTTTGCAGCCTTTTGGAGAAATTTCAAAAATTTAAAAATGAGTAGTAAAGACGGAGAGGGCCGTCTAACCTGGCTCCTTCTTTCAGATTCATTTCTTGAACATAGTGAGTTATACTCATAATTTTATGCGAACGAGACTTCTGTTGTCTCACTGCTTAACTAACACAAGCATCGGGAAAGATGCCAGTTTTTAACAAATTAAAGTTCATGCATTGACTTTAGCCGAAGTAGGTTATACAACAATACGTCCCACTCCAGGCTTTGAACAAGGTGAAGCCGCAGGAAAGTGTTCAGTTTAACACCAAAAAACCTACATGTCAAGTCATCAGCAACAGTTTCCAAGAGATTTTTTATTCCTTTCTAAGGACAGATAAAAACATTCTCCGAATTTAACTTCAATGTTGCTGAGATATTTGCAAAACTTGGGCCGCAGGTGTCTGCGGTGGAGAACGAACACGCGCTATTGTCCTTTCCGGGGCGTAACGCGTTCACCACCACACCACGCGGGTCCTTCGTTCCGCCTGTCTCTCAGCTAGTTCTATCGAATCTAGTTATATTTCACAATATATCCTGCCGTTAAAAAGAGTAGACAGTAAATAAACCGGTTAAGACTCTCCAAATTTTTCAAATTTTCTCATCTTTGGTTAATCTAGAAATTCTCACGGAATTTCTGCTTCCGTAGTTCGCTTGCTTGACATGCACAAAATGATTTAAATAATTTGTCGATAGCTGCACTAGGTCTCCCGGCTGGACAGGAAAACCTCAATAGGAACTTTTAGCAGCCGATCTGATCGCTCCTTTGGTTTAGAAAAAACCTCTTGCTTTATTTTCGATACATTGCACTTAAGCTATCTGAGGAAATTGTAGCACTAGTCGTTCAAGCTTAGTGCATTACCCCTTCCTTAAAGAAGTTTTTTGGTACTTCAAAGAATGTAGATAATTATAGTGTTCACTCCAGTGGATTGTGCTGATTTCGTTTACTTAACCATCTTTCGAAACGACTTCTTTGATGATGATCGTCAGTGCTAATTATTATAACAAACATGAATCGAATGGGGAGCTTTCGATAGCAGACGGTGTATCTCCGGGGAGCTCCAAATGGACTCATTTGAAAGATTCCTGCATGCACTCACATGCTAATGCAGATTCCATTTCAAAGACGACGCATTCTAATATCACATCTGTGCTAATCTGGGTGCTCTTAGGAGTTCGCCGTTTCCTCATGAGCCTCAGGGACTCTAGATGGATGGAGTTATCTAGGAACTACTTGACTCGGAGAGCTTATACAAACAAAGGAAAAACTCATTCGACCAGCGCATAGCTCTGCGCACTTTTCAGAAGTATAAATGACGAAACATAAGTGCGTTTTGAAAAGTCTTATAGGAGTATGGACGTCAACAAGAGAACCATTCCGACTTTTCCAGTGTTTCCGGCTGCTAAATTGCGGTTAGGTAAGACTTTACTGAATTACATTCCAGTGTAAGTGTTACTTTCAGAAGCATTAAACAATAAATTATCGGGAAGTAACCACGTCTATTAGCAGACGTTTTCTCCTGACAAATCTTCTGAAATTCCAGAGGTTCTGTGAAGAGTGATGACAGAAAGGTCTACGTCTCTGACATGAATCACAGCTAAATAGATGAAAAATGACCGGACTCAGCGAATAGAAACGGCATCAGCGCTAACGGCAATCGGCACGTCCGTACATTGTCCATAAATCCTCAAGCTCCTCGTTTCAGAACCCACAGCGGAAAACGGCCTATATATAGGCGGCATGGGCTCCTCGCCCGCAAATAGGTGACAGCTAGTCGATAGATGTTAAGGCTTAGTGATCACAGCCCCATAAAATAGACGGATGACTTGATGTTTGTCAACAAGAACTCCTTTCTGATATAATAGTTTGATCTTTAGTGCGTATAGTTTGCTACTTTCTAGCTAAATATTAAAACTTTGGTTTCAGTAATCAGGAATCTTCAACTCTGAAGTCTTTGTTCCATGACATTTATATTTTTTTTTGTCTTCCTTCCTTCCAAATTGCCATACTGATTCGAGGGGATAGGCTTTCTCAACTGCCCAGTATAGTATTAATAAATATGATTCATCGCAGATCGTTTACCTTGCCTGATAAAGGAATTAAGATTGTGAACGAAATATGGATTTCCGTTATTTAGCCTTCCACCAAAAATCCCTCTATGTGCTACGTAGCTCGAATTTGGAAAACAAACTGGGAATAGATGATTTAAGCCGTCCGCTGCTTGTTACCCGATTCCTAATTGCAAATTGGCTTCATGTTTGAAGAATTTCCTTCTTCTTAGAAAATTTCATTGAAAAAAAGTGAGTTAGTACAACAAGAAATACCCATGTCACTCCTAGCGATATTAACTTGAAACTATTTTACATTTCTTACAGTTTGCTTCTCAATGCTTCTATTCCGCCCTACGTCATCGCTAACATTTGCCGAAAGTAAGAACGAAATTGTTTGAGTTAAAGGCTAAGATCGAACTCTTTCTCTTATCTCCTCAGCACTATCGGGCATTTTCCCAGTGTCAGTTTTCAATAAAAACAAAATCAAAGGCTGACTAGTACTGCATAATATTGGTGAAGTGCTGCTGCTGGCAACGGTTCTCATGGAAAGATTTGTGGAACCACAAAGGACTAAGATGCCATGCGATCCGTCAGCCCAACTCCCAAGTTCTGCTCGCTTGCATTAACGGCTTGCTCCCTCCAGCAAACCCAATTTACACGTTAGCCGAAACGACACCGAACATCCATAAAGACATTGCCATTCTCATCGGCATTAGATTTATGCACAGATTAGACGTTTATTACCTCAGACTGTCAATTCGGGTATTCCATTTAAACTATATTTTATGGTGGAAGCAAATTTCCCTGAAACCCCGATGGCTCTATTAAGCCGCTGAATTCTATAGTTTTCATTTTATTAAACACTACGCGTTTCTATCCGTCATTTAGAAAGAACGAAGAAAGCAGCCTTGGTTGGTTAGCGCGAGATATGCGTCACATGGATTCCGACACATGCTTGTAATATGGGTAGGGGACCAGCGGAGTCCTCATTGTTGCTTGCCATGGCTGATTATTGGCCACAGAGCACTCGATAGTTGTATATACATGAAGCGTATAAAGTAATTATGCACAGCAGAGGCAGGAATTCGAACACAGGAGGTCGTTGATGGCTCAGAAAAGAGGTGGCAATGAATAAAAATGAACTCATGCAAAAATAACATGCGAAAGTCCATAAATTCTCTAGTTTATCTAGGTGACCACTCAGTGATTAAAATAATACGTGCACAAATAACTTTGCTTAGTGAATCTGTAAAAAACCAAGTTTATGATAACTTGGAATAAGTAATGGAATGAAGGCATTTATGTCTATATGGAGAAACTTTCGACTTATTCACGGATTCCAGCAATGATTCTACAACCCTACGTAGGAAAAGGTAATCGAGATTCGATGTGTAAAAGTGATTTTTTCCCACAAGCCCACTGCACAATTTGGTTATTCAATACATTTCCTTAGTTTTAACTTGTACTAGGGCAAACTTGTATGTGTTTGGTTAGGTTCGGAAGAAAATTCCTACTACTCCAAGAACTTCCGCATCTACAAAAAGATCGCATTGAATTATTTGGTGGTTCAAGACTTCATGTAGTGTTATGAAAACCTCGGATCATTTCGTTTTAGAGTAATCATACAAGAACTCAACCAGGGCTACTTAGTAGTACCCAAATGAACAACTACGAATAACCCTGGGTGCTACAGCCATTCCTTCGTGGAGGCTTGCAGCCTTGGCTCACGGAAAAGTGATCTCACACGAAATGTGACGTATTTATTGCGGGCTCGTTATCGATGTGTCCTCGAAATCCAGCACTTAAGGTTGCTAGTAGTTTTTTATGCTCGGACTCTAACAAATGAATCAAAATCATGGTAAGATATAGGAAAACTTCAAGGTCCTTGAAAATCGAAGTCCCATGTTTCACAAAAATATAATAAGTTAATTAACATAGTATGATTGCTTAAAAAAGGTTTGTTAACCAAATTCTATCGTATTTGTTATATGGAGTATATTTATGGAAGTATGGGCAATGAAAAAAGGGTAAAGGAAAAATTGTTCGGCATTGGTCAACCTCTGAGGGATGCGCCGTGCATTTGAACTCATGATACCTCGTTAGAGGTAACTGAATGCATATCTACCCGTACAATGGCTTGCTAAGGCCTTCTGTGTTAAGTCAGTATTTTGTGCTCCCGCATAGGTTTGGTAAGAATTTGCTGACCGTGGAGGGAAGGCTTGGTGAGCCTAACACGCGCTCTGGGAGATGAAACAATTTAATCTGGGCAAAATTGTTACTTTAACTCGAGAAAGCTCATACTGAAATGGAGCGCTTTTAAAACTCTAACACATTTTATTCTTTTATACAATTAGAATAGTTAAGCGTGACCACTTGTGCTAGTAAAACAAAGGAAGCCAGTAGGAGTTAAATAAGGTTGGCCACAGAATTGTGGCGAAGAGCTTTTCTATTTCAATCTTTTCGTTGCTCACAGGACATCTTGTAATGACTCACCTGTAATACCTAAGCAGATCATCATGAAGGCGATATGTGACAGGAATATCAGATCGTCGAAGTGTTTCGAAGTTTTCTGGAAGAAGATAGTCGTTGCGACCAAATGCGCGAGGATGCCTCTCCATTGGTGGTTCTTCATAGGTGGATGTGTCGTTCTCAGAGACGAATTCATTGGTCTTCAGATGACGTCGCTTCTCTGTAGCACTGAGTAATTTGTCTCCATAGTAACCTACCTGCAAGAATCGAAAGCTTTGAAGAGATTCCTGAAATACCTTTTGTTTTTCTTGAAGACATAGTTCATTAATTGATTTTTGAAGCCAAAATGTTCGTGTCAATACATCCTCCCCAGATAGAGCTTACTGATATTTCTTTTTTCTGTGCCAATTCCCGCAAGCAAACTTGCCTTACGATGGTTTCTATGCCGTTGCTGAACTGATCCCACATACATAGCGCATCCTGTCAGAAGAAGTAAACCCATACAGTGTTGGATCATCTCAACATTACCTGCAATAGGAATCTACTGCTTTTTGGGAAGACTTTCGAAATATTTTTCACAGTTCAGAAAGACTTTTGAGAAGGAACGATATTTTGAACGTTAGTATAGACGGAAAGAAATAAGGGATAAAAATAAGAGTCAAAAAGCAAGAGTGCAGTCTCCTTATCGGCAAGAACTGAAATGAGTTTGTGGTTAATGCCAAGATTTATGGAAAAACCGCCATGAGAACCTATTCTATGGTTAAGGAAAAAAGGTGTGGCGGAAATCTAATGTGATAGATTTATTAACAACCTTAAAACTTGCATTTTTCCTAGGGAGCGTTGTCGGACACATGTGAAGCAAAAGGAAAGCTTGCAAAGTTGAAAATTTTCACAGAAGCTGACTTGTCAAAGAGATATGAAAATGGACAAAGTAGTGTGCTTGAAGCGTACCACAGCATTTTAACGGTAGCAACAAGGATGTTTCCGTTTCGCATCCTTCTGTTAGAGATTTGGTGCCTTCCGCAGAGAACAAGAGAGACATGCTCTTGTTTTTTAAACGCTTTCCCAGCTGATTACCGTAGACAAAAGAGACTGGATCAAGCTGGCTGTAAACCAAAATCGCTTTATCAGACGACGGTAGCCGTTCATTATAGATGAATAGAGAAAATAAAAGCCGGATATGTTATAGTCGTCTCGAAAGCAGTTAAATCCATAAGTAGTTTTCCAAGGTGATGAACCACACCACTCTCAACAGAGAGCGGTGGTTTCCGATGGCGACGAACTGCTAGTGTTTTCATACAGTTTTCCTGGGAATTGAAGAGACCAATCTTGCCAAGTAAATAAATCGCCTGTTAAGTGGAAAATATGGTGTACTCTATAAAATTCTTCCTCAAGACGTATTTCGTAAGGTCGAGTAAGTTGTCTTCCGAAATCGTTAAACAAGCCGGCGATGATCACCGTTCAGATGTAGCCTGTGCCAATTTTGCGCTACACGCATTATGGGTTTGTGACAATTGTGGGTGTTCCTGGCTTTGTGTGATGATTTATTCTATTGAAAAATTATCGACTGAATCTTGTACACTAATGGATTACTACTTGTTAATTAAAGCCTGAAGATGGAAACCTAACACCTGATGACCACAAAACAAGGTGAAACAGGCCCTACAGTAGAGAACCATTAAAAGCCTGAAAACATGGATCGAGGTAAATCAGCTATGAAAGAGAGAGTAGTGTTGAAAATGAGGTATAATAATAAGACGATTACTAAGTGCAGATGGAGCTGAATTGGTAAAATCTGGGTGATGTTGTTGCCTCTCCGAAAGGCTAATGCAAAGAGATAATGAGAGGAAAACGATGAAGAAACACACGAGCGCTGCATTTACATACGCATTGAATGAATGCAATCGAAGAAGACGAAGAAGAGTGAAATCCAGTCGAGAAGAATGAAAAGCGCTTCTGGGATTTGGATTCGCCACTACAAAATGGGGGAAAACGTACCCAGTGAATCGAAAATCAAAATGCTTTTTGTGTCCATGAAATGGCAGAAAACATGCAAATGTTTTACGACAACAAATTAGTAGCATGAGATCTGTAACATCAGCGCGGATTTCAAGAAAGAGAATAGAAGCGATCGATGGATTCGCCGATGAAAAAGCCATTTTTTCTGCTAAAAATCATAGATTTTGGGTTTACAATGTAAAATCCCTATACCGTGGAGTGACCGTCCAGGAAGGGTTTGGATTGGATGGATTTTGGAATGCTTCGCATATTCGTCATTGTGATTTGGACAATAATCAAACCACGATGGGGAGCGGTTTCATTCAACGGCTATCCGCCTTAGATGCGCAAAACATGCCAGCGTGATGATAAATGCCAAAATGGGCAAACGAAGCAGTACTTCTTCAATTCAAAACCGAACCAACACTGTCTAACCATATCATACCCCAGAACCCCTACGGTATCCCAGACTTCGGAGACTGACTAACCAGTGAAAAAAATAGGCGCTTTTAAATTAGCCAAGTAAACTTAAGATGATGTTTGAAGCTCAGCAAGGACAGGAAAGAAATTCGCTCTGGAAGAGTCGAGAACAGGATGTATTCAGGATGTATTGGCACCTTAATGATATATCTTAACAGAGAGTCATCAAAATTCCTTTATACAAAATACACGAGACCAATATCAAGAGATGAAAGCTTGTACAGAAGCTGTTTGCCCCATAGTGCAAATTCTTCACTATGTTTGCGCGCTATCCGAGGATTCAGAAAGAATAGCAGCAAATAGCCTTCTAAAGTCTCGATAAAATAAAACTGTGATATCGGAGGGATGGAAGGCAGTTGGAGAGAAAGGAGGCAGGGATGAGAAAGTCGAATATTGGGCGGACCTTTGTTCGTTGGGAAAGCGCCTTCGGTCGATTTCGAAAACCTAAAGGTCAGATCGGAGAAGCAGCGGAATACCGATTCTTCCAGCGCAGTTGACGATCAATCAAAGTTATTAGCTTTCATCACGGACGGCCTGCTCCTATTAAAGCCTTCCTAATTCAATTCATTACTTCCAAGGCCATCAACGGCAAGCACTCATCTTTAGCCTTTCTAGTAGAGGAAATCTTGAATTTACTCATGAAAAGCGCACAACTGTAATAGAGGAGAATAACAAAGTGAAGCATTTTATCAGACTGGTTGCAATAAGAAATAAGAACAATTCGATAACGAAAAAACGGAAAAAAGCTGTAGTGAATGAAGTGTTGTGAGATTACTTGAAAGGAGAAAAGTAACATATTTTTGTTGTCTCTGAAGAAGGAGTTCCAACTTTACAAGTACTCACGACGATTTTCTAAGGAGTCAGCGAGAAGGCTCTCAAAAAAGTCTCATGAGAGCTTCTTTGACATTTGGTCATCAACATATGTTGTTCTGTCGTCGACTTTAATCCTTATTCGTTTTACTGAGAACTCATGAGTTGTCAATTTGAGAGATTTCTTTCTTGGACAGCTGTTTTCAAGTTTTTTTCTCCGTTTTCCGTGCTGATTTTTATGGTGTTGAAGTGTTTCGGTGCCTTTCTCACTCTGAGTGTTCTGAGAATTCAAGAGTAATCCAGTACGTTGAGAACTTCTTGTTTTTTCAAGCACTTATCTTGTGGTCTGCAAAGCTTTTGTACAGAATCCATTTGTTAAGAGGAATCTAGTGCTCAACGAAGTAGCTCCGTAGTATCGGAGAAGTTTTTCTACCACGTTTTCTCTGCGATGTGCTCCATAGCTGACATGTTCTGCATGGATTGATACCGTACAAAGTCTTTGATGGCGCAATGAAGTTTGATATCTCTGCTTCTATATCTTACGGTTGTAGCTTTCAAGATAAATAATGTTCAACATTTTTCAACAATAGAAAACGGATTGCTGAAGCTATATTTCAAGATAGAAAGAGAGATATCCAGGAAGAAGGAAAAAGAGATGGAAGATACCGACAAACCTGGCTGAGGTTTCTGCGATTGCACAGGATGGTTTGATGAGCCTGTGAAAGTGCTCAACTGAGTATGCAAACGTTGATTCAGTGAAAAGAACTAGCTTCTGGAGCCCACTTTATCATCCCATCACGCCCCACGTACGCACGTCTGCCTGTTTAACATTGAAAACGCATTTAATCCATTATATATTCCACACAGAACTGTGTACATACTTCTCAAACTCTACGTTGAGCATGTTCTTTGGGACACACCTATGGTTTTGCTAACAGCTTAAGGATCACGACGATTCTGAGCGCTTTTATAGACTTAGTGGACATGAGTAAATCAAAAAGAGGAACACTGGAATTATCGGCCCTTTTATAGACAACAATAGTTGCTAATTGTTGATTTTCATCGGCTCCTCTAATTAACTTCTTTCTTCCTCTCGTTTCAGTTTCCTTGAAATATTGCCCTGTTTTCGGTGCTCTTCGGATATCCTTCCTCAATCTTATCCATATTTTTTATTTTTTATCCTTGTTAATATTATTAGCTCCATAGTGATGCTGAGATATTTGCATAACTCCGAAGCTCAGGTGTCTGCAATGGGGAACTAACGCGCTATCATCCTTTCAGAGGGCTAACGCGTTCACCACCACAGTGCGAGTCTTTTGTTTCGCCTGTTTCTCAGCTAGTTCTATCGATCAGTGCCATCACCAATCACTCGTCAACAGGATTTATCTCTATTTATTCTTCCACAGCCGTATAATTCGGAAAACCGCCGAATTCACGGCTGGCCGAGCCACAGATAGAATCTGAGCTTATAATTGAATTGTTCTGAATTAAAATTGTTTTGTGAAAGCTTACGGGTAAGAGATGCGGAAACCAAAGCTATCATGGCTTTAGTAGTCCGGTGGAGAATCGGCAGGAAATTGAAATTTAATTAGAGAGCGTTCAAGAATAAATGGCTCCGGCCATTCATCCATTGCGAACACATTAGGAGCCTCTACTGTGATTTTATTGTGGCGTCATGGTGGCTTGTTAATGCACTTTAGAGGCTTGATTTCTTAGAAAATCCTTCCCATTCAGAATCTCTGAAACGCTCAGTGTTGATCCCCATCCCAAATAGCCGTAATTGGTGCACGATCCGTTCTCGTAAAGTAAAAAACGCAGGTATATTTCAGGCAACGGGAACATCTGTGTTTTTCCTCGCTTTTTTTTACGTCGGGCAGTGCTACAAGTATCGATTAATGAGGGTCGTAACTTCTGATTAGCCCATAAATTCCAGCACTTAGTAAATATTCAAACAAAGACTAAATGGAAGGAAGCTAAAACAGCATCTTACTACTAGGCTATTAATGTTTCCTGTTTGTTCAGAAAACGAGATGCACATTTGCATAGGAAATGGGATGGAATCAGAACTTAGCGCATTAACTTAGAGACAAACAACAGTTGGAAAAAGGAAGCATTTTTCAGAACTCCGGTCCTTCTTTTGTAGTTTTAAAAAATTTCGATTCAGCGGGAAACAAATGCAC